GGGCGTCATGGCGGACCGATATCTCCTGCAATGGTATGCGAATAACGGTGCAGATGAGGGGTTGTAGCGGTCATAGATAACATCGCGACGTCGGCATAAAAGATGACCTACCTCTGGCTGGATGAGGGTTGGATCTTGCCGGTTTTTTATGGTGTCGGTGTCGGTCTTCTCGACCCTCTTCGACCAGTGCTGGAAGAGGGGAATCCGGCAGAGCTTGGAATACTGGATGTACGGGTGCCAAGGGGTGCGGACGAGTTTCACCGCGAGGTCCTCGGCGACAATGCGGCGGAACATCAGAAGGGTGCGCCAGAAATGCACGGCCGCAACGTCGGCGTCGGACCCCTTCTTCGCGAGTTCTTCTGCCTGCAGTTAGACATCAGACGGGGGTTATCTCCATGGTGGATAGGACAGTACCATGCAAGATTGGTCGGCACCGATAAACAAACCTTGTTGAGGAGGTCGTCGACGTCGGGGAAGATGTGCTCGGCGATGAGAGCGAGGAGTTCGTCTCCCGGTTCCACCCTACTGCGACCCAAGAAGTAGTCCTGCGTGAATCCCGAATAGCCGGCCTTCTTCATCACCACGCCGACGGGAATGGACGTGATGTAGGCTCGAGTCATCTTGTCGAGAGCCCAGTGACCCAGCTCGGCTATCTCGGCGCGAGGCGTACCTTGGATGGCCAACTCCTGCGCCCCGCCCGCCCGAGCGGCATGGACGTTCCGCTTGCAGAACACCCCGTTCGTCTTCCACATCTGCCTCGTCCATCGCTGGTGGCTGGGAGCTGAGAGTTCGCCCTGCTCGGGGTCGTTGCGGGCGAAGAACAGGTGCTTCTTGTACCAGAGCTCGCGTGTGCTGGTGTCGACCGACGGAATGAGGTCGACTCCGTGAAACTGGCCGATCTGGTCGAGGACGAAGTGTAACCACAGCCCGGTCTCGCCGACGGCGCACAACTCCGCTTCTAGGTGCCGCGCCGCGTAGCTCTGTTGAAGACGCGCATCCTTCGACGTCTTCGAGTTCCGCGCGGCGACCACCATGACGACCGGCTGGTTATCCGGGTTCACCGACGAGGTGCTCGCCAGTCGGTACAGGAAGATGTCGGGGAGCGTTATCTCGCGTATGCTTGCACCGCGCATGAGGCTGTGGTGGGAGAGCAGCGTGAGCACCTTGATGAGAAGAAACCTCCACAGCGTCTGCGAAGGTGTGGTGAAATGCGGGCTCCATGCCGACGCCGCCCAAGCCGGCAGCACCCTCGTCATTATCTGGCGGAACTGTTCGGCGGTGTATGTGTCGCCGATGGTGCCGCGTCGACGGTCGGCGCATTTACTGTCGACATAACAATATATGGATATGAATATTAGGGCGAGGAAACAAATCGATGGCGACATAACACGGCGATGCATGCCAACTTACTCGAGGTCCCTCTGATTTTTCGTGCGGACCATGACCCGCACCTCCGACCGGACCACCGAGATTTCCCGCATGATGCCCAACTCCTTCTCCTTGAAGAGCGTCGCCTCCACCCTCGCCGCCATCTGGCAGGCCTTGATGCGGCCGAGGATCATGTGCACCGTGTAGGCTCGCACTGGCTCGTTCGTGTCGGCGTCGATCCTGTACTCCCGCCTCATGAACTTGATGTAGGCGCGCAGTCGCGTACTAGTGACCCGGGGGCCGTGCAGCCATATGTGCTTCCGCTTGACCACCTTCTCGTTGTCCCAATCCTTGCTCTTGTTGTTGTGTGTCCAGTGCCCTATCTCGTCGACGTGCCTCATTTGTTCTGCTGTCGGCAGTTTGTCGCCAATTTTTTTAAGCATCTTCGCCGTCCACCTTTTGTAGTCGTATATCCATGAGGTGTAGGACTTGAGCGTGCTCTTGGCCTCTATGGTTTTCAGGTGGCGCATTCCCTCCATCACGAGCACGTCGACGCACGCGTACACCATATCTTCCTCTACGAAGTCGGCCGCCTTCCACATTTCTCGAGGGACCGACGTGTGCAGCAGATCCTCAAGCTCGTTCTCGTCCAACAATTCCTCTATGAACGCACGTTCCCCCCTGAGTTTTTCTTCCAACGTGCGCGGACCTGCACCACGTCGGGGCCGCGGGTCGTCTTCGTCGTCCTCGTCGCTCGCCGATGAATAATCGTCCTCATCCTGGTCGCCCGATCCGTCCGGCACAGACGACGGCCCGGCCTCCCCTGCATCCGTCGGCGTCGACGTTTTGCGTGGTTTCGTGAACTCCCCTATCGGCGCGGGCGGAACGTCCTTGGTGAACTCTCCCTGCGGGATTTGGGCCAGGGCGTCGAGATCGTAAAGCAGCGGCAAAGTCGACGAGGGGTTACTGGTCGGTGTACGGTCTACCGGGCGGACGTCCTCATCCTGGCTAGCGGGGTTCATGACGTCCGTCATGTCGACATCGGCGGGGGGTGGGTTGGTTTGCGGCGGTGTCGAACGAGGCTGTCCTCTGGCCATGATACCGCGACCTAGGGCGATAGGAAGTCGGCGTGGTGAGGTCGATAAACTACTTAATGCGTATTCTATGTCGGCGGTATCTGGCAGGTCGGGACAGCAGACAATCCTACGAGAGGTCGGCGACCACGTCTGCCTACTATCACGACGCCGACGTTACGCCTCTAGAGAAAATCAAAGTGCCGGCCGTCAAGTCAGTGGTAAAAAAAAAAAGCAATGGCACACACAATGGCAGGCGGAATGAGCGACCATTTCGGGGACCACGGATGGGGATGGTCGTGAGCGACTCCGCACCACTTGGCGCTCCACGCAAACCCCAGTGCACGACGCCGCCATGCATGTACGCTCGTGCGGCGGCGCCGTGTCCGACGTGCCACCAGGCGTGCATGGCTGCTTGCTTGAAGCGTTTCGCTCATCATGCTCTTTTCGTGGCTGCTACACGCTGGCTCTTTCGTGCGGCAACGTGGCGTGGTCCCGAATTAGGTGCACCTCGGTAGGTCGAGGTCGGGAGACACTGCCGTGTGGCACCACGATGATGCTCTTCTGGTCGACGCCGACAGGACCCGCATCATCAGTGTCCACTGCACGTAGCCATAGATAGTGGACGGCCGGATTTCTCCTTGCGCATGTGAGCAACCGTTGGATGAATGCCGTGTGGTATGCACCGACATTGCCACGTTCATGCGCGAGATTCTCCCAAGCGAAGCACCCCGACCTTCCGTTGGCCCGTCGTGTCCAACCTGGCAGACCTAGGTGGCCCCGCCATCCAGGGGACTATCTCGGGCGTCCCTTTGTGGCCGCGTGGCGATCATCGCGGCCCAACGTGCCGAGCTGGTATTCTGACACGCGGCTGAGACGTCCTTCTCGGGATTGTCTCAGCGGAACTCTAGGTCGACAGGTGGTCGACCATCCCGAGGGCTCACCAGCACCTGGCCCAGCCAGATAGCCTGGGCTTTCCACGCGGAGGTCGTCGTGGGGTCGTCGACCCCGAGGAGGGGGGTTGTCCGTTCTGAACCGCGAAAATGGGCGGCAGTTTTCGTCGGCTGAGCTATATTATGCTAGACCCGCCATCGGTTCCAGACTCTGTCCTAACATCGCCCTCGACCGATTGCAATATTTCCTAAACACAACCCTCGGTTAGCTGCAATACACATGGTGTTATTTTCACACCCTCCAATTTCACTTCCCTGTGTATTCGTTCCTGATTTACCCGGAAATTAAGGGTTGTTTTCAAAAATTTTGGCTTTAAGGAATTAGCGATTCAAACAGTCTGGCCTGAAGGAATTAACGAGTCAGTGGGAAAATTAAAACATGGTTTCAGCGGAATATCCAGTGTTTACGTTGCGGTCTCAAAGTCACACTTTCACAACATCGACACTTTACAATGCCACGGATAGCCTCTAGTTCCTTGGGTGTCTGATCCCCAAAGCCAAAGAAGGAACGCTAGTTTGCCACAAAAAAGGTCCCAATCTCGGTTTAAATCTTGGAACTCTCGCATACACGTCTTTCGATGGAACCAAGAAGAGTGGGAAAATTCACTTGGAAGTAGCTTCCCGAGTGCCTCCTTCGTTCTCGATCTTCGAGTGCCTTGAAGCAGGAGGAACGGAGTGCCTTGAAGCGTGAGGTGTGTCGAGTTCGCTGCATGTTTCGCGAATAGTAACGCGCGTGGAATCCACGTCGCTTATCTTTCGAAGTTAGTTCGTCCGTTTGTTTGCAGTGGCTCTAATGGAGCAGCTCCATTTTCCTCGTCTAGATTCGGGCTTGACGAGATCGAAAATCTTAGACCCCCATGGAACGTCGGTCCTGAGGTGCATTCCGACAAAATCCTCGCGTTCTAGTTCCGCGATTCTCGCAAACCGCGATTGTCGTGTCTCTAGAGGCTCACCAGTCAGAGCTGGCGGAAATGGCTCGCTTGGTCTTGCAGCTGGTTCGTGTTTTACGTGCCTCAACCTCGGGGATGTTTCTCGACGACAACCCTTGTCGATTGGTCTCGCAGATGGGTTAGGTGCGAGATTAAGTTACGTTGCTCGTCGCTTTCCGTCGCAGTCCGTCGCAGCAACTGTCGCACGAGCTAGTGTAGGCGACTCCTCGCGATCGTCCAGTCGGGCGAGGAGAACAGCAGCGCCGGCGGCGACTGTAGCGGCTGCACGGCCAGCTCTCGCCGCTGCAGTTGCGTCGCAACGGACAGCAGCACCATCTGTAGCGGCGTCTGCAGCATCATCTGTAGCAGCATGTACAGCACTCCAAGCAGCTGCGGCTGTAGCAACGGCGGGGAAACCCCAGTCTCGAGCGCCAAAAGCGCCGACCGCGCGCAAAGCAGCGATCGGGGAGGTGCTTGGGGGGATATTCGGCGCAACGAGCCCCGCGGAGAAGACACGTCAGCAGTACGCAGAACAGCTAGCGCGGGTTAACCGTCTGGAGGCGATCGCGTCGCGACTATCGGACGGCCAGCTAAGAGGAACGACTAGGGACCTGCAGCAGAGGGTTGCTGCTGGGGAGACCCTTGAGAGTGTGCTCCCGGTATAGTCACTTTAAAGTATGCCTTTCTTTTCTAGAGTGTGCTCTCGGTTCGTCAACTTGAGTGGGACGACCAGAGACCTGCAGCAGAGGGTTGCTGCTGGAGAGACCCTCGAGAGTGTGCTCCTGGTATAGTCACTTTGAGTAATAACCTTTCAAGTGTCTGCTCCCAGTATAGTTGCCATGTATGACGTTTCTCTAGAGCGTACTGCTACAGCTTACCCACCCACTTGCTGCTTTCCCTACCTGCTGCTTTCCGTATTCTTTCTAACTTCCCCACTCTGTGCTGCGACTTTTCACATGTCCCTTCCCACTGGCAGGAGGCGTTTGCTGTTGTGCGCGAAGCTTCCAAGAGAGTTCTTGGCCTGAGGCCGTTTGATGTCCAGCTCATAGGTACACCCAAATACTTGCCGCTCATCCCAACAACCATCTCTTCTTGGTAACGCTCTGCTGAAGAGGCCTCTTCTTATCACCCCTCTTCTTGTTTGACTTGACGGTTCTTCCTTCCACACCAGATCATTCCTTTCAAGTTGTTAAGAACCTCACATTCTCCTAACCCTGATGGGCCGCACTTACCTCCTCCTTGTTTCCGCGTGTTTGGTTTTATGATTTTGTGCCACGTGGCATGTGGATGCCTGTGAACATGCCAGGTGGCATGGTGCTGCATGACGGGCAGATCGCTGAGATGCGGACGGGGGAAGGCAAGACGCTGGTTGCTGTGCTCCCTGCCTACCTCAACGCGCTCACAGGTGTGTATGTAGGGGGCGTGTTTGTATGCACGCATAGACAGAGGAGGCATGGTGCTGCGTAGACAGAGGGGGCATGGTGCTGCATGACGGGCAGATCGCTGAGATACGGACGGGGGAAGGCAAGACGCTGGTTGCTGTGCTCCCTGCTTACCTCAACGCGCTCACAGGTAAGTGAGTGTGTGAGTGTGTGTGTGTGTGGGTGTGTGTATATGTGTGTGTGTGGGTGTGTGTATGTGTGTGTGTGCGTGTGTGTTATGGTGCATGGTGCATGGTGCATGGTGCATGGTGCGTGGTGCGTGGTGCGTGGTGCATGCGCATATGATTTTTCAGTCAAAAGCCTGCCTCGCTCGTACAGGTTCGTCTATCTACATACCTTATGAGGCGACTCAAAAGTCACCTCGTACAGGTTCGTCTATCTACATACCTTATTCCTCTCTACGCTTGAACCCTATCGGCCTCCTTCCTATCAACCCCCATCTCCTTCCTTTTCTCAACGTCCTTCACTCTCCTTCCTTCCCAGGCAAGGGCGTGCGTATGGGCGAGTGAGACCCCTCCTGGGAAGTGCGTATAGTGCGTATGTGCACTATTCTTTTTGAGCAACCGCCTTCGCTCTTAAACCACTCCGCCCTCCCTCCTCTCTCCAGGCAAGGGCGTGCATGTGGTTACAGTCAACGATTACTTGGCTCGCAGGGATGCCGAGTGGGTGCGGTGCGGCAGGTCCCTAAATTGCATGTCTCTGTACCTGTGTGGCTGCAACATAACATCATATCGATGTCTCTCCTCCTTCTTTAACCCCCCCGCCCTCGCTCCTCCCCAGGCAAGGGCGTGCATGTGGTGACAGTCAACGATTACTTGGCTCGTAGGGATGCCGAGTGGGTGGGGCAGATTCACAAGTATCTCGGTCTGTCTGTCGGCCTCATTCAACGTAAGCGCCTCCTTGTAAGCTTCTATCTATTTAACCACTTGCTTGCTAGCCCCCCACCACTGCCCCGCTCTTCTTTTTGTTACATCAAAGCCCTTTTCACCCTAGTTATCAACCCTCGCAAACCGTGATTCATGAAGCTGTTTATTCTTAGCCTTGCAGAGGGCATGACGGCGCAGCAGAGGAGGGAGAGCTACGCGTGCGATGTCACATACGTCACCAACAGCGAGCTTGGATTCGACTACCTCCGAGACAACCTTGCCACTGTGAGTCTAGTTGACTCCAAATTCACCTAGTGGGGAGGGAGAGCTATGCGTGTGATGTCACATGCGTCACCAACAGCGAGCTTGGATTCGGCTACCTCCGAGACATTCTCGCCACTGTGAGTGTTTCTTCTCATGCGAGCATGCATGCATGCTTGCTGCCATTGTGAGAGCCTGCCTTCCATTTTAATCGCACTAACTTTTATCGATTCCCTTCCTTCTCTTGCCATCCTTTACCCTCCCCCTCACAGTCCAAGGCTGACCTGGTGGTGCCCTCCTTCAACTTCTGAATCATTGATGAAGCGACTCCATTCTCATTGACGAGGCCCTTGCACTGACTCCTCTACATCCCTTCCCTTCCCTTCCCTCCATGTCATTCCTTCCCCATACCATACGCATGTCCAAGGCTGACCTGGTGGTGCCCTCCTTCAACTTCTGAATCATCGATGAAGCGACTCCATTCTTATCGATGAGGCATTCACACTGACTCCTCTCCATTCCTTCCCTTCCTGCCATGTCCTGCTTTCCCCACTCACAGTCCAAGGTGGACCTAGTTGTACCCACCTTCAACTTCTGCATAATCGATGAAGTCGACTCCATTCTCATCGACAAGGCACTTGCACTGACTCCTCTACATCCCTTCCCTTCCCTTCCCGCCTTGCCCTGCTTTCCACACTCACAGTCCAAGATGGACCTAGTTGTACCCTCCTTCAACTTCTGCATAATCGATGAAGTTGACTCCATTCTGATTGACGAGGCCCGCACGCCGCTCATCATATCAGGGCCGGCAGAGAAGCCCAGCGAGCGATACCTCGTAGCTGCCAAGATCGCTGCTGCCTTTGAACGAGACGTGCACTACACGGTGAGTTGCAACTGAGAGGTTTGGTGACAGAGAAGGCGTGCATGTTGCTCAGCTCATCATTTCGGGGCCGGCAGAGAAGCCCAGCGAGCGCTACCTCGTAGCTGCCAAGATCGCCGCTGCTTTTGAGAGGGACACACACTACACGGTGAGTGAGTCAGTGGGCTGGCTGAGTTTTGAGCCTTCCTCCGGAGTTTGAGTGATTGACGAGGCCCGCACGCCGCTCATCTCATCATAACGGGGCGGGGCCGGAGGAGAAGCCCAGCGAGCGCTACCTCGTTGCTGCCAAGATCGCTGCAGCCTTTGCGAGGGACACGCATTACACGGTGAGTGATTCGTTAGCTTGCCTGAGTTTGACTGTTCCCTGAAGTCCTTGTTGATCGACGAGGCCCGCACGCCGCTCATCATCTCAAGGCCCGCAGAGAAGCCCAGCGAGCGCTACCTCGTTGCTGCCAAGATCGCCGCTGCCTCTGCGAGGGACACACACACGCTACACGGTGTGTTGCAATGCAATTGAGAGGTTTGGTGACTGAGAAGGCCCGCACCGCACGCATGTTACTCATCGCATCATCTTGAGGCAGGCAGAGGGGCCCTGCAAGAGATGCCTCGCTGCTGCCAAGATCGCAGCGGCATTTAATAGTGACGTACACATACATACGCACACACACTTATATCAGGTGAGTCCTGGGTTGACAGGTGCCCTCCCTCCCTGGTCCATCCGCGTAGCTCTCCCATATCTCAGGGCGGTTGTGTGCTTCTCACCCTCAACGTGAGGCTTGCACACATGCCGCTCATTGTATCAGATCAGGCAAACCGAGAAGCTGTACAGCTGTCCGCCTTCCTTCCTCCCCCTCCTCCGTGCCTTCCCCACCTTCCGTCACTGTCTAACCATCCCGCTCAGGTGGACGAGAAGCAGAAAGTGGTGCTGCTGGCAGAGGCAGGCTACGATGGGTCAGATCAGAGCTGGTGCTTAGATTGACCCATCTTTACAATGCAAGCCAAGGATGTCACCGAATATATTGTTGTTTGCAATATATTCTGTTACTCGCTAGTGTAGGTATAGTAGGGTTAATCGAAGTACTGTAGAAGGTGAGTTTGGTGCGTGGGTAGTGACGCGAAGTGGTGACTCAGGGACTTGCGAGGCGCAGGGTGGGACAAATTCAAGGGCGAGCCCTGAGCAATCCGAAGGGCCAATCTGAAGCCTAGCGGGCGGAGCCCAATGTGACTTACGGGAAACTGCACGGCACGGGGTAGAGACTCAAATAGGCTAGGAACTCACTGCTTAGTTCGTTCTCTTGTTTGTTTGCTCGTAATAGTGGATATAGGTTGCCGTTTGATAGCTAACTCCAGCTTAGGCGACTAAGCCACTGTGGGCAGCCATACGTGGGGGATGCAGAATCTCTCATGGTAGTGGCTGAGGCAGAGCAGGTAAGGTATCACAGGAACAGAGCTCAGAAGAAGGGAGCGAGGGTGAGTCGGGGAAGGAGAAGGCAAGCCACGGGAAGCAACAGAGGATGATTCTCCGACAAGGAGCAGTTGTTGCAGTCAAACCCCTCCCTGCTTGCACTCTCAGTCTGCCAATGTCTGCCCGTCCCACTCAGGTGGACGAGAAGCAGAAGGTGGTTCTCTTAACAGAGATAGGGTACGAGGAAGCAGAGCTGGTGCTCAAAGTGACCGACCTGTATGACTTCAAAGAGCAGTGGGCGTCCTTCCTCCTCAACGCAATTAAAGCCTCCTCTCTCTGCGTCCTCTCCTTCCCTACCTGCGTGCCGGCCTTGTGCTGTCTGCCTTCCTGCCTGCCTTCCCTGTCGGCCTCCCTTCTTTGCCCGACACAGGTTGACGAGAAGCAAAAGGTTGTTCTCTTAACAGAGATAGGGTACGAGGAAGCAGAGCTGGTGCTCAAAGTGACGGATCTGTACGATCCCAAAGAGCAGTGGGCCTCCTTCCTCCTCAACGCCATTAAAGCCAAGGAGCTCTTCACCAAGGACGTACAGTACATTGTGCGCGACGGCGCGGTGCTTATAGTGGATGAGTTTACAGGGAGGATAATGGAGGGGCGGCGGTGGAGCGAAGGCGTGCATCAAGCAGTGGAGGCGAAAGAGGGGGTGGCAATACAGAACGAAACAGTCAGCCTCGCTTCGATCAGCTATCAAAACTTCTTTCTCCAGGTATGGCAGGTGTATGTCTGAGGCGCCTCAACATTCAACTCAGTGTGAGGAATAAGTTGTGCGTCTCATAACAAGTCGTTCTCGCATGGAAATTGGGCTCAAGTGGAATTCGGGCTTGTACGGTTGATGGGCTTGTGTGGAGTGGAGCGATGGAGGGAGGATAATGGAGGGGCGGCGGTGGAGTGAGGGCGTGCACCAGGCAGTGGAGGCGAAGGAGGGGGTGGTATGCCAGGCCTGCTGTGCTGTGTGTGAGACCTGTTGTGCCCATCAAGACGCGGTTGCATGGGGGGTGGGCTTGCATTTAGGTGGGTCTGTGTGGAGTGAGCGAGGGCGTGCACCAGGCAGTGGAGGCGAAGGAAGGTGTGGTGCCCAGAACTTCTTCTTGCAGGTATGCTAGGTGTGTGTGTATGTGGGATCCGCTGTGCCCATCTAGACGGGCTTGCACAGAGGATGGGTGAGTGAGGCCGTCAATCAGGCAGTGGAGGCGAAGGAGGGCGTGGCGATTCAAGAATGAAACAGTCAGCCTGGCATCTATCAGTTACCAAAACTTCTTCCTGCAGGTACGTTGGGGCAGCTGTATGCATGCATGTGTGATGTGCTTGAAGATGGGCTAAGATGATGGAGGGGCGGCGGTGGGGTGAGGGCGTGCACCAGGCAGTGGAGGCGAAGGAGGGAGTGGCGATTCAGAACGAAACAGTCAGTTTGGCCTCTATCAGCTATCAGAACTTCGTCCTGCAGGTATGGCAGGTGTAGGTCTGAGGGCCAAGTGTGCCCATCAACATGTGCTTGCATGGGGGATGGGCTTGCATGCATGGGGGATGGGCTTGCATGCATGGGGGATGGGCTTGCATGCATGGGGGATGGGCTTGCATGCATGGGGGATGGGCTTGCATGCATGGGGGATGGGCTTGCATGCATGGGGGATGGGCTTGCATGCATGGGGGATGGGTTTACTCTCCCCCCCCCTCTCCCACACCCCTTCCCCCCTCCCTTGTTACCCTATGTCGATCTGTTCTGCAGTCCCCAAGTTGTGTGGCAAGACTGGCACGGCAGCTACAGAGGCCACAAGCTGCATATGCATTCAGCTAACACAGATAGAAACCCCCCCCTCTCTCACCTTATACCCATCCGCTCTGCAGTACCCCAAGCTGCGTGGGATGACCAGCACAGGAGGCACAGAGGCATCAGCCAAGTGTGATTGCAAGCAGCATATGTATCCAACAAATCGATTGTTAAACCTCTTGTCGCTGTGTATCCATCCGCTTTGCAGTACCCCAAGCTGTGTGGTATGACCGGCACGGCAGCCACAGAGGCAGACGAGTTTGGTGGCATCTACAAGCTGGCTGTGGCCGAGGTCCCCACCAACCGGCCCCTGCAGAGAAAGGTGGGACTGGTGTTCCATTGTATCATGCAGCACAGTTTAGGATGAAGCAAGCAAGCAAGCACAGGCCCCTGCAGAGACAGTTGAGTGTCTGAGTGGGGGGAATATGGGATTTCCTTGTAGCATGAGTCAGCACATTGTAGCGTGGAGAAAGCAAGCTGTGGTGCGCTTGAGTGACTGGAGCAGCAGCAGCAGCAGCCACAGAGGCAGACGAGTTTGGTGGCATCTACAAGGTGGCTGTGGCGGAGGTGCCCACCAACTGGCCGCTGTAGAGAAAGGTGAGCTCATATGGGTGTTTCGAGGCAGATATGGCAGCCTACATTCGCAAGCCTCATTTCACCAAACGCCGATGGGCAAGTGGAGGGCAGAGGGATGGGATGGGATGGGATGGGATGGGATGGGATGGGATGGAATGTTGGGATGGTTATTCCTGGTGGCGTATCATTTGCTCTCGTTTCTGTATCCTCGGTATTGTGTCCCTCGCTCTTTATCACAGGACGAGCAAGATGTGGTGTATCGCACGTCAGTGGGCAAGTGGAGGGCAGTGGTGGCGGATGTGAAGGGGCGGCACGCAGAGGAGCAGCCAGTGCTGGTGGTGTATCATTCACTCCTTCCCTCTGTTGCTATCAACTTGCTTACTCGCTTTACACCAACTACAGGACGAGCAAGACGTGGTGTATCGCACATCAGTGGGCAAGTGGAAGGTGGTTGTCGCAGATGTGAAGGGGCGCCATGCAGAGGGGCGGCCAGTGCTGGTGGTCTATCCATCACCTCTCTAAATACCCCCATGTTACTCTCCGCCTCACTCACAGGACGAGCAAGATGTAGTTTACCGCACGTCAGTGGGCAAGTGGAAAGCAGTGGTGGCGGATGTGAAGGGGCGCCATGCAGAGGGGCGGCCAGTGCTGGTGGGCACCACATCGGTTGAGATCAGTGAGGCGCTGTCGGCCAAGCTGAAGGAAGCAAATGTTCCTCACCAGGTGAGGAGAGTGTGGGTGCTGTGCGGTGCAGTGTGGTGTTGTGCTGTGACTTGCTGCTGGTGGGAACCACGTCGGTTGAGATCAGTGAGGCGCTCTCGGCCAAACTAAAGGAGGCGAACGTCCCCCACCAGGTGCGATGATCTGCACTGCAATGCATTGTGGTGGTGGTGTGTCTGGCGAGGTACAATGGTGTGTGCTGCCAGTGCTGGTGGGAACCACGTCGGTTGAGATCAGTGAGCCGATGTCAGCCAAGCTGAAGGAGGCGAACGTTCCCCACCAGGTGAGGAGAGTGGGTGCTGTGCGGTGTAGTGCAGTCAGGGGAGGTAATCTGCGTTTTCATTAGGTACTATGGTGCAGGCCCGTGCTGTTGGGAACCATTTCGGTTGAGATCAGTGAGGCGCTGTCAGCCAAGCTGAAGGAGGCGAATGTTCCCCACCAGGTGAGGAGAGTGGGTGCTGTGCTGTTTTGTGCGGTGTGGCGTGGTGCTGTGCGGCAGTGTGGCCCTGGGAAACATGGTGCTGTGTTGTGTGAGTGCTGGTGGGCACCACGTCGGTTGAGATCAGCGAGGCGCTCTCCGCCAAGCTGATGGAGGCAAACGTCCCCCACCACGTGAGGAGAGTGGGTGCTGTGCGGTGTAGTGCAGTCAGGTGAGGTAATCTGCGTTTTCATGAGGTACTATGGTGCAGGCCCGTGCTGGTGGGCACCACGTCGGTGGAGATCAGTGAGGCGCTGTCAGCGAAATTGAAGGAGGCAAACGTTCCCCACCAGGTGAGGAGAGTGGTGCTGCGCGGTGTAATGCAGTCAGGGGAGGTAATCTGCGTTTTCATGAGGTACTATGGTGCAGGCCCGTGCTGGTGGGCACCTCGTCGGTTGAGATTAGCGAGGCGCTATCAGCGAAATTGAAGGAGGCTAATGTCCTCCACCAGGTGAGGAGAGTGTGTGCTGTGCAGTGCAGTGCGGTGCTGCCGTATGGTATGAGGGGCTATCCTGCTATGCCAAGTGCTGGTGGGCGCCACGTCGGTTGAGATCAGCGAGGCGCTCTCAGCCAAGCTGAAAGAGGCAAACGGTTCCCACCAGGTGCGGAGAGTGGGTGGGTGCTGTGTGGTGAGGTGAGGTGAGGTGAGGTGAGGTGAGGTGAGGTGATCCGAATTGTGTGGCAAGAACTGGCATCTTGGTTTGGTCGGCAGGTGCTGGTGGGCACCAAGCCATTCACAGATGCTGAACGTCAAACCTGAGAACGTGGAGAGAGAAGCGGAGATAGTGGCGCAGAGTGGGCATGTGGGGACAGCGACAATAGCAACCAGCACGGCTTTTTGTCACTCCACCACTTCTCCATTCTGCATTCCCCTCCATTCCCACAGATGCTGAATGCCAAGCCAAAGAACGTGGAAGAGGGAGGCAGAGAGAGTGGCTCAGAGTGGGCATGTGGGGGCAGCGATGATCGTAATGCCCATGGCTTTACACCTTCTCACCCCTCCGTCCTCCTCGCCCCTCTCCTCACCCCTTCTCCTCACCAGGTGCTCAATGTGAAACCTGAGAACGTGGAGAGGGAGGCGGAGATAGTGGTGCAGAGCGGACGCGTGGGGGCAGTGACCATAGCAACCAACATGGCTTCATGTCTTCTCATCGATCCTTCTCTCCTGTCCATCCTCATCTCCCCTCTCCCCTCGTCTCATCCTCTCTCCTCGACCCCTCCATTCTTACAGGTTCTCAATGCCAAACCAGAGAATGTGGAGAGAGAAGCAGAGATAGTGGCACAGAGTGGGCGAGTGGGGGCGGTGACAATAGCAACCAACATGGCTGGGCGGGGAACTGACATTCTTCTGGGCGGCAATGCAGAGTTCATGGCCCGTCTCAAGCTTAGAGAGGCTCTCATGCCCAGGTGCAGTGCGGTGCGGTGCAGTTCAGTGTGGTGAAAGGGTGATCCAACGGTGTACTGTGAAAGGTTGTGCGGTGCAATGTGGTGAAAGGTAGCAACCAACATGGCTGGGTGGGGAACGGACATCCTTTCTGGGCAGCAATGCTGAAATCCTGATCTGGCTGAAGCTAAGGGAGGTGCCCATAACCAGGTGCAGTGTGGTGCAGTGTGGTTGAAGGGTGTGTGGTGTGATGTGGTTGTAAATGTGTGGGACAGTGACAGTAGCAGTTTTGGTTAAACGCTTGTGTTTCTCTCTTCTCCTGACTCCCCCTTACCCTCTCCCTCTTACCCTCTCCCCTCCTCTTACACTCTCCCCTCCACTTACCCTCTCCCCTCCTCTTACCCTCTCCCCTCCTCTTACCCTCTCCCCTCCTCTTACCATCTCCCCTCCTCTTACCTCTCCCCTCCTCTTACCCTCTCCTCTCCTCTTACCTCTCCCCTCCACTTACCCTCTCCCCTCCTCTTACCCTCTCCCCTCCTCTTACCATCTCCCCTCCTCTTACCTCTCCCCTCTTACCCTCTCCTCTCCTCTAACCTCTCCCCTCCACTTACCCTCTCCCCTCCTCTTACCCTCTCCTCTCCTCTTACCCGCTCCCCTGCTCCTTCCCTCTCCCCTGCTCCTGCCTGCTGCTGCGCACAGAGTGGTGAAGGCAGACGACGTGGCGTTCATATTCCAAGGCAAAACGAAGATTGCTGTCAAACGAACCTGGACGGTATGTCCTGCCATGGGCAATGAACCTGGACGGTATGTCCTGCCATGGGCAATGAACCTGGACGGTATGTCCTGCCATGGGCAATGAACCTGGACCGTATGTCCTGCGCATGCAGCAGCACAGGCGTGGGGAAGCAAGGGTAGCTAGTAGCATGTGAATGCAAGCAACCTTCCCATCCACCAGGTGCCGCCCAATCTCTTCCCCTCTCCATTCTCTCGCCTCACTCCACTCTCGCCTCACTCCACTCTCGCCTCACTCCACTCTCGCCTCACTCCACTCTCGCCTCACTCCACTCTCGCCTCACTCCACTCTCGCCTCACTCCACTCTCGCCTCACTCCACTCTCGCCTCACTCCACTCTCGCCTCACTCCACTCCACTCTCGCCTCACTCCACTCTCGCCTCACTCCACTCTCGCCTCACTCCACTCTCGCCTGACTTCTGTGTATCTCTCACTTCTCTCACCCACCCCTTCTCTTTTCTCCAGGTGCCGCCCAGTCTCTTCCCCTGCCGTCTCTCGCCTGGCGTCACTGACGTTGGGAACGAGGCGGTGCAAGCAGCAGTGGAGTTGTGAGGGAGCGCTCTCAACAGAAGCCTTCTGAATCCTCCCTCTGTGCAGAAGTCGTGTCCCTCCGCTGCCTATGTGTCCCCATCCCCACCAGGTGCCCCCCAGTCTCTTCCCCTGTCCGCTCTTGCCTGACCTCACTGATGCCGTGAACGAGGCGGTGCAAGCAGCAGTGGAGGCGTGGGGGAGCAGTTCGCTCACAGCACTGGAGGCAGAGGACAGGCTGGCATTTGCATGTGAGAAGGTGAGAGCTGATGGTGGGGTGGTGGGTAGACGTTATGTTCAAATGAGATAAGTGCACGTGAGCACAGGCCATAGCAGCAGTGTCCGCGCGTGGGGCTGCATATGAAACCACATGATCATTCTTGTTTTTGAGACATGTCAAAAGTTTTGTTTTCAGACGTCTCAAACCAAATGATAATGCATATTTTTCCTCTCCCTTCTCTCTCTCTCTTCCCCCTTCTCCCCCTCTCCCCCCTCTCCCTCTCCCCTTCAGGGCCCCATGTCCGACCCGGTGGTGAAGCAGCTGAGAGCAGCCGTTGAGGCGGTGGAGGGGGAGTATCGGCGATTCACAGAGGAGGAGAAGCGGAAAGTGATTGCTGCCAGGGAGAGGAGAGCACTGCATGTGAAACCACATTATCATGCTTGTTCTTCCTCTCCCTCCTCTCCGCTCCCTACCCTTTCGTCCCCCCAGGGCCCCACAGCGGACCCTGTGGTGAAGCAATTGAGGGCAGCCTTCGAGGCAGAGGAGGGGGGGTATCGGCGATTCACAGAGGGCATGTGCAGGGGAACCTTCAAGAGACAGTGGAATATTCTTGTTTCTCCGTTCCCCCTCCAGGGCCCCACGGCTGACCCTGTGGTGAAGCAATTAAGGGCAGCCTTCGTGGCGGTGGAGGGGGAGTATCTGTGATTCACAGAGGGCATGTGTAAGGGAATTTTTAAAAGACCGTGGAGCATTCTCGTTTTTTTTCCTTCCCCTTCCAGGGCCCCACGTCCGACCCGGTGGTGAAGCAGCTGAGAGCAGCCTTTGAGGCGGTGGAGGGGGGAGTATCAACGAATTATAGAGGAGGAAAAGCGGAAAGTCATTGCTACTGGTAGGGGGGTGCATCTAGAACCACATTATCATGCTTGGTGTGTTTTGAGTCGACTCATTATCATGCTTGGTTCTCCTCTCACTCCTCGTCCAGGGCCCCACGTCCAACCCGGTGGTGAAGCAGCTGAGAGCAGCCTTTGAGGCGGTGGAGGGGGGAGTATCAACGATTTATAGAGGAGGAAAAGCGGAAAGTCATTGCTGCTGGTAGGGGGGTGCATCTAGAACCACATTATCATGCTTGGTGTGTTTTGAGTCGACTCATTATCATGCTTGGTTCTCCTCTCACTCCTCGTCCAGGGCCCCACGTCTGACCCTGTGGTGAAGCAGCTGAGAGCAGCCTTCGAGGCCGTGGAGGGGGAGTATCGGCGATTCACAGAGGAGGAGAAGCGGAAAGTGATTGCTGCAGGGGGGCTGCATGTGATCGGCACAGAGCGACACGAGTCGAGACGCGTGGACAACCAGGTGGGCCGTCATTGCAAACCAGGTGGGCTGGTTTCTATGAGGTCTCGGATGTGGTCGGTTGCAGCGGGCAGAATGGGGACCCAGGAAGCTCACGGTTTGGTCTCAGCCTCGAGGGTAGTTTGCTAAGGGTGTTTGGGGGAGAGAGGATCGACGGGCTGATGAGGGCCTTCCACGTGGAGAATTTGCCCATCAAGCCCCGCTCCCCATCTCCGTGCATCCAGCTACGTGGCCGCAGCGGGCGGCAGGGGGACCCGGGGAGCTCGCGCTTCTTCCTCAGCCTAGAAGACAATCTGCTAAGGGTGTTTGGGGGAGAGAGGATCGATGGGCTGATGAGGGCCTTCCACGTGGAGAATCTGCCGATCGACTCGCCGTTCCTGAACCGAGCGCTGGAGGATTGACAGTTGCTCATGAGGACCTTCCAAATGAAGGTTTTAATTACACTCTCTTCCAAATCCCACCACCCCGAACCACACCACACTCACCAGCTGCGGGGCTGCAGTGGGAGGCAGGGAGACCTGGCCAGCTCGCGCTTTTTCCTGAGTCTAGAGGACAATCTGCTGCGGGTGTTCGGAGGAGAGCGCATGGACTGGCTGATGAGGGCCTTCCATGTGGAGGATCTGCCCATCGAGTCGCCTTTTCCATTCCTGCTGCTGCTCTCCTCCCCCCTGTTTCCCACCTGTTCCCCCCAATCCCAACTCCCTTTTCTCCGTGCATCCAGCTACGTGGCCGCAGCGGTCGGCAGGGGGACCCAGGCAGCTCTCGCTTCTTCCTCAGTCTGGAGGACAATCTTTTAAGAGTGTTCGGGGGAGAGCGCATCGACGGGCTGATGAGGGCCTTCCATGTGGAGGATCTGCCCATCGAGTCGCCGTTTCTGAACCGAGCGCTGGAGGATGCGCAGCGGAAGGTGGAGAACTACTACTTCGACATTCGCAAGCAGCTGTTTGAGTACGACCAGGTGGGTTGAAGTTCTGTAGTGGTGTGTGGTGCGGTGCAGTTCGGTCCATAGGGTGTGTTGTCTGCGGTGGAGGATGCGCAGCGGAAGGTGGAGAACTACTACTTTGACATTCGCAAGCAGGTGTTCGAATACGACCAGGTGGGATGCGGTGTGGTGCAGTGCGGTGCAGTGTGGTGTGGTACTGTGCGTGTGCACTGATAGTGGTCTAGTCTGCATTGGAGGATGCGCAGAAGAAGGTAGAGAACTACTACTTTGACATTCGCAAGCAGCTGTTTGAGTACGACCAGGTGGGGCGTGGTGTGGTGCAGGGTAGGGCGTGTGGTGCGGTGCAGTGCGGTGTGGTGTGGTGGTGTGTGTGTGGTGCGGCCCTTAGGGTGTGCACTGATACAGGTGTTTTCTTCGCTGGAAGATGCGCAGAGGAAGGTGGAGAACTTCTACTCCGATATTAGCAAGCCGCTGTTTGAATACGAGTGAGGATCTAGTGTGGTGTGGTACGGTGGTGTGCGGTGGCTTGATGGCTTTGAATGCTGACACCCCGGTTTCGCTTTGTCCTCTTCCAATCCCTACTTGGTGCTGAACAGCCAGAGGGAACGGTTTTACTGGGAGAGGAGGAGAGAGCTGGGGAGACAGAGGATCTTGTGTGGTGTGGCATGGTCGTGTGCGGTTCCAAAAGCGCTATTGCAGTGTCTGGCTTACTAGTCTGTGCTCTTCCAACCCCAAACCACCAGGTGCTGAACAGCCAGCGGGAGCGGTTCTACTCGGAGAGGAGGAGAGCGCTGGAGACAGAGGATCTCGAAGGGCTGATGCTGGAGTATGCACAGCTGACCATGGACGACATTGTCAATGTGAGGGGCAGTTCAGTCAGGTGCAGTGCGGTCAGATCAGGTGTGTCATTGTCACGTATGATGTGGTCACGTGCAATGCAGTCAGGTGCCATGCCATACTGTGAAGCTGTTCTTTCTGGAAACGAACCTTGTTCATGTATGCTCTGCTCTCACTCCATCCGGATTCTGCTCCACCCCTCCCTCAGGCGAACATCGACCCATCACTGTCACAGGAGGAGTGGAACTTCGAGGCTCTTACAAAGAAGGTCAAACAGTAAGTGCTGCAGTTCTTCTCATTTATGCTAATCATTTCGAATCCTCTAGTGAATTCTTCCAGAGGTGATGTTGATTTTCCTTTCTTCCTTTCTTTTTTTTTTCTTCTTCTTCTTCCCAGCACTGGTTTGTCGAAAGATGGTTGCTCTCTCCATTTCAACTCCTGAGGCGCCTCATTTGAGGCGCCTCAAAGAACGGCCGCCATCTCCATTGCACCGATTCCCCCCTCGAGTGTACCCTTCCTTTTCTCCCTCTTCATCCTTCACATACCCCGTCTTGCAGGTACTGTGCTCTGCTTACGGATTTATCAATCGATGACATTATCTATCACAGCGACACTGTAGACACCCTGAGGGATTATCTGCACCAACGCAGCAAAGACGCCTACTACACAAAGAAGGTGCGGAAAAACTTTGTCCCATTTCTCACCACTGAGAATCCCGTACGTGGTACTCCATGCTTATCAAGATGAATCAGCTGAAAGAGCACCCACTTTCACCCCTTCCACCGCTCTTGTTTCTCCATCACCATTCTCAACCCCTTGGCACCGCGCACTTTCAAATGGCACAGCACCCGCGGGACGGCGCCACTCATCCCTCAATATCACCTCAATCCCTTTCTCGAACCTCAACTCTAACTCCCTGTGACCCTACCTCCTCACCCTTCCTACAGGCAGAGGTAGAATCGGCAGTCCCAGGGTTAATGAGGGATGCAGAGCGGTACTTTGTGCTCACTCAGATGGATCTGCTCTGGAAGGAGCATCTGCAGGCGCTCAGATTCACCCAGCAGGCCGTGGCTTTAAGGGGCTATGCTCAACGAGACCCTCTTATCGAGTACAAGCTTGAAGGGTACAACCTGTTTCTTGCAATGATGGGGCAGATCCGGCGAAATGTCATTTATTCCGTGTATCAGGTGAGAAAATGTGTACACCGGCATACATCTCTTATCGAGTCTGAGCATAAAGGGTACATTGTCATGCTACAAAATGTGAGAAAATGTGTAGGTGGTGGGAAAATGTGTACACAAAAAGCATTTTCATGCCAACAGTCGAGTCATATGCCTTCTCTGCCTCAGTTGCTCGATTCTCATCGGCATAATCTGTCCACATGCATGCTGTTCCTAGTCACCATGATTGATCTTCATTACTCTCATCTTTCTGAACACATCTGCTGTGACATTCCATGGGTAACCACCTACACTCACCATGATACCTTCGACTCCACCATCCGTGTGTGTTCTTATAACGATGTGTGACAGTTCAATCCAGTCACAGTGACTCAACCCGATGGTGGACAGCCATCAGGGAGTAGTTGAATTGAAACAAACTAATGTGACAAAATTGGCTCGGTTATGCACATAACAACAGAACAGTTTTGCAACCTGTGCTTTGTGTGTCCTCATGGTGATGTTTGACAGTTCAATCCAGTCCAGTGACTCAACCCGATGGTGGACAGCCTAATTAAGGTGAAAATATTGGCTCGATTATGTACACAATAACAAAGCAGCTTTGCAACTTGTTTATTGTGTGCTATTGTGGTGATGTGTGACAGTTCAATCCAGTCACAGTGAGTCAACCCGAAGGAGGACAACCATCAGAGACTAGTTGAAACAAACTAAGGTAACACAATCGGTACAATGATGATGAGGCAAGAAGCATCTCTCGTGTAGCGTATGAGCCCAGCTGCAGTCATCTCTTACAGAGCGAAGGCTAGGGCCTCCCGCGCTAAGATCTATTTGCCTTTTTATTGTGAAGGTTCTAGACCGAAAACCTCCTGAATAGCAGCATCGTACGGTTGTAGCACGATGTTACACGTTGACTGCAGGAGGATAGCCTCCAGGCGGCGGGTACGTTGCCCCCGCGGCGGCCGCAGGAGGGGCATTGCCGGCGTATTTCTGCTCGGCGATCTTGCGGTTTCGGCGCAGACAGCAGAAGACGATGAGGACGATCAGACCAACGACGAGAGCACTTCCGAGCCACAGCAGCACGCGAGGCCAGCAGCTGTACGAGCAGCCCCCTGTGACGGGACAGAGAGAACGCACGAACGAACGAACGAAGTGCTATTTTTTTAAATGAGAGAAGCGGAAAAACAAGGACGAGCGGAGGAGAAAGCCAACAGCTGTACGAACACCCCCCTGCTTACAATGCGTTATGCGCCTTTCATGGCCTGTTGGGGCACACGAAATTACAGTGCGTTATGCGCCGCTCACAACAGGGGCACACGGACTTACAGTGCGTGGAGCTTTTATCGCTGAAATAAGCGATGCACAGAAACGGCTTGGCTGTCGCCTCGCACGTCTGATGGGGAAGAGGAAGGAGGGAGACGCGAAGAGGGGAGGGGAAAAAATGGGAGAGAATGTAGAATTGTATTCGGAGCCGACTTATTTTGGCATGAGCTATGGACGTGTGTGAGTTATTCTAGACCGCAGCGAGTAGCTAGACTAAAATAATGCAGTTCCTTCTTTTATTGTTGTTTTTGTTTCCTGAGGTTTCGTAGATTGAACAAATCACCTGGCAATTGGAGAGACAATCCGAGCTCATGAGCCGTGTGGTGTAAGTCCCGCAGAAGGAGGAGCAATCGGTGCCATATGCGACGTCCAGCAGCAGAACCAAAAGGAAAGCCGAGAAGAAGAAACGACGAGTTGACTTTCCATCGAAAAAGGCCATCTCAAGCGGCGGGGGGACGAGGACGGGTCAAAAGCTGACACGCAAAAGCTGGAAGGAGAGAATAAGGTAAAAACGCTATTGACTATCTGAAGGCTCAATGAATGAGGAGCACATGGCCAAAGAAGCCGCTTATATGATGCTTCTCTCCAGCCTTGTGGGTTGTGGAGTCGGAGTTGGGCAAGCCGCCTGGCCTTCGTGGCGCCCTCAATAATTGTGGTTTGCTCAATCGTGAAGCAGAAAGTCTTGCGTTGCACTTCACCAGAATTTTGTACTGTACCGTAATTATGGATGGGTGGTTCGCTGAACACAAATGTTCGTGGCAAGGTTTGGCACGGCTCCAATAATTCTGGCCGCCGAGATTCACGGCAGATGCTGACTTGCGTTGACTGATCGTAAGTATATCCCTCACGAACACTCCAAAGCGCGTACATGAGTACACCTCTAACATCCAAATTGGAGGCTTTATGCGATGATTAGTTGATGGGTGTAAGGAAATTCCCTTTTCCTTACTTCGCGTCCCTGCCCAGCGCGTACGTCACTGTAGCACCTCAGTCAGCACCGTTACCACTCGCGACCATCGCATCATTCATCATCCCGCCTTTTTCGCACATCGCATCCCGACCTCACGGCTCGGCTGGTAACCCGCGCTCCGGGCCTACGCTTCGACACTTTCCCAACCTCAGTCTCAGGCTCGACGCGCGACAACCACAGTCCATTACCGTTACCACTATTGTTTCGCTATATAATCCTTCGCTCATTTGTACTTTTGCTTCGATAGTGCAATTCCCGTTCGTTCACTCAATTGCACACGTAACACTTGGTATTCAGAGCCTACGATCTCATCTCGGACCGCATCCACACCTTCGCTTCCCACTATCTCAATTTTTGGGGGGGGTAGACGTCTCTCAGCGACACAGCACCGCCGCTCGAAGTGCTCTCTCGCAAGCACGCACGGCCACGACCGAGGCTCTCGCTGAGCTTGCCCGACACCCCCGCCATGGCCGACCTCAATCTCGCCACGTTGACGCAGGAGCAACTCGATCGTCTCGTGCGACAATTGGAGGATTCGGCGCTTGAAATCGCGACGCTCACGGCGGAACGTGACTCCGCTCGTCAACAGTCAACGGTGAATGCTCCGACAACATCCCACGCACCAACCAATGTCTCTGTACATTCGGAGGAGCCGATTATCATTTCATCCGGCACACCAACGCAACACAACAGCACGGGACAGCGCTCAGGCGCAGCCAGTGACGGCGCAGCCCAACCGATGCCCGGCATGGGAGGGAACAGGAGCACGCTAAGCCCACGGGAGCCCCGAGAAGCCCGTCGGCACGTGGAGTTTGCGACGACAAGTGGTGAAAACGCCATGATGGCCCCAATGCCACTCAAGCCGCAACGCCCGCCCTGCTTCGACCCAAGCCAACGCGGCGGCCCGACAGTTCAATCATGGGTCTTCACGATGAATGTGTTTTTCGACGCCAACTACGTCGAGTCGGACGCCGCCAAGATTCGGTATGCGGTTTCACTACTCAGGGGCCCCGCCATGGACTGGTGGCGAGTCATCGTGACGTCGCCACGCGCCTACGAGCCACCGTCGCACGAGGAAGGGCCCTCGGGTCCAGCTGTCACCTGGAGTTCGTTCTGCGAAACAGCCCAATACAGCACGTGGGATGCGTGGTGCGCAGGGCTTCGGGCGCGTTTTGAGCCGATCGCGGCTTCGATTTCGGCGCGTCAGAAACTGCGCACTTGGCGCCAGCTCGGGTCGGTTCAAGACTACACCAGCGGTTTTCTCGCACTTTGCGAACAGGTCGGCTACATGCACGAGGCGGAGCGGGTGGACCGTTACGTCGGAGGGCTGAAGCCGGACATATCGCACGAGATAATGCTACGCGCGCTATCGAATTTCAACGAAATCCTCGCGCTCGCCGAGAAAATCGATATCCTACGCCGACCGAGACCGGGGTCCTATTTCGGACATCGTCCTCGGGGACCGATCGAGCACGCCACTGTACATGCCGTCGCAACGAATGCAGCTGCCACGCCATTTAGAGGGCGCTGCTTTGCTTGCAACCGGCCGGGCCATCGCAAGAGCGAATGTCCAGAGGAGCTGAGACGTCGAGGAGCAGAGCAGGGGAAGGAGTCTCGGAGGCAGGGAAACGCCAGCAGTCAGTAGAAGTTGGGCCAACTACTGACGAGACTGCCTGCTCGCCCAACCACACCGACCCTCACCGAGTCACAGTACCGATTCACGCCATCGATCGGGCTCGGATGAATAAGGAGGGTACAGCGACGGATTGCCCGGTACTGATCTACGGGAAAATACAGGGAGCAGCAGTGAAAATCTTCATTGACGGAGGAGCAAGTCACAACTTAGTTAATACTGCAACCGCACGGAAATTACAGTTAACACTTAACCGATGTTTACCTGAGATAGATGCACGCTTAGTCGACGGCACGCCATTGGCCATACGAGAAAAGGTGGAGCGAGTAAAAGTCCGCTGCGGGGGAAACTTCGGGTTTACACAGGAAATGCTCGCAACGACGCTGGATGGGCACGACATTTTACTGGGACGTGATTGGCTGCGACGGTACAACCCACGGATCGACTGGACGACGGGGAGCTGCACAGTGCGAAGTAGCGGTAACTGGGTCGTCCTACCTCGCTGGCGGCCACCCGAATCTTCGACAGTCCAGGTCAACGCCATCGCGATGAAACGGGCTGTCGCTGCTGGAGCTGACGTGTACGCAGTGGATATCGCAGTGGTAGAAAAAGACGAGCAGCAGAACGATTTACAGAAACTGCTAGCAGCCGTACCGACCGAATTACAAGCACTACTGAAACGGTTCCCGGGGATATTTCCGGATGATTTACCACAGGGACTGCCACCTCAGCGAGCGCACGACCATAGGATCGAGCTAGAACCGGGGGCACAGCCAACAGTACAGCGGCAATTTCGACTGACACAGCCCGAGCTCGACGAGTTAAGGAAGCAGTTAGATTACCTGTTAGAGAAGCAGTTTATTCGCCCAAGCTCGTCACCGTTCGCCGCACCCATACTGTTCACACCGAAAAAAGATCGAGGTTTTCGCATGTGCATCGACTACCGAGCGCTTAACCGAGTAACAGTCAAATCGCGATACCCCATCCCCCGCGCCGACGAACTCATTGACCAACTGCGAACGGCACGTGTCTTTTCGAAAATAGATTTACGGGGAGGTTACCATCAGATTCGGGTCGAACCATCGGACTGCGCAAAAACAGCATTTAGGACTAGGTACGGGTCATTCGAGTATACAGTAATGCCTTTCGGGTTGACGAACGCGCCTGCGACTTTTCAGATGACCATGAACGAGGCGTTTAGACCACTTTTAGATAAATGCGTGATCGTTTACCTCGACGATATCCTCGTTTACAGTCGGGATAAGCAGCAACACTTAGCAGATCTCGAAGCAGTTTTTAAGGTTTTAGAGGAACATCGGCTGCTCACCAAGGGCTCCAAGTGCGAGTTTTTTAGGGATAGGCTAGAGTTTTTAGGTCACGTCATTTCCGAGGCTGGGGTTGAGATCGACCCAAAGAAGCTGGATACGGTAAAAGCGTGGCGCCCCCCGACAAACATCACGGAACTGCAGAGTTTTTTAGGGTTTGTTAATTACGTTCGACGGTTCGTGCCCGACATGGCACGTTTAACAGCCCCACTAACTGATTTACTGCGTAAGGGGGTCACTTTTACGTGGGGGGAGAAAGAGCATGCTGCCTTCTCTGCCC